CTCAGGCCGGCGGCCAGCCGGGGCGTCTGGGGTCCTGCTCACGGCCCCTCTCTGTGCCCTGCCCCAGGAGTCGGGAGACTCAGGGAGCGGACTGGAGGAGCTGCCTGAGGGGACGGTGAGTGTGGGTGGACGCCCAGGTCCCCCCCGGGTTCTGCAGGGCCTCCGGCGTCCTCCAGCCGCGGCTCGGGGCACAGGGCCCGGGCCAGGTGCCGGGCAGGGGCCGCTCAGAGGCCAGCTGGGCCCTCGCTCACCTGGCCTCGGGCACATTGCCCGTGGACAGCGGCCAGGCTCGGGGTTTGCTCTCGGAGCCAGGCCAGTGTGGCCTCCGTGGGCCAGTCTGGAGCCGGAGCCCACGCCCACACCTTCCAGGGGGAGCCCTGGAAGCTCCTCCCCCCGGAGGCGCCCCCGGTCACGTCGCCACCCCTGGCCGGAGGCCCCGACACAGGAGACGCCAGAACTGAGGAGACCGAGGCGGAAGCGACGGCGTCTCCGCTAGGAGGTACCGGCCTGGGTCCGGGCGCCCTGGCGGGTGCTCTGGACACAGCCACTGGGCCCCGGGGCCCCCGAGCCCAGGGGCTGTGCTGAGTGGCCGCGGGCGGCAGGTGGGCCGGCCAGGGTCAGCACTGCCCACGTGGTGCCGGCAGCGGGACCCCGTGGGCGTGTGGGGTGCGGGTGGCGGCCAGGGACGGGCCTGGGGCCCCGTGAGCACCCCGGGCCCTGACGCCGTCTCCCCAGCTCAGACCCGCTCTGGCTCGGAAGCGGCCGCCTCACAGGACGGGAGCGCCCGGGACGCTGGGGCTTTCGTGGAAGAGGTGAGCGGCCGCGGCCTCACGGCCTGGGGTTTGCGCCCCACTCTGCCCCCGCGGGCAGGAGCCCCCCCGCCGGACACCTGTACGCAGCCCCGCGAGCACTCGCCGTGCCCCCACCCCCCGGGCACCCTGGCGACGTGACCCCAGACGTGGGGGGTGGGCAGGTGCTGGCGGGGACCCAGCCTGTCCCTCCCTCTGTCCCCAGGCGCCCGGCGTGCAGGGCCCGCCTGGCCC